ACAGGCATATGAGCTGAACATTTTACCTCAAGTAGATACACTCCTTGGAGAGAACAATCATGGGAGAAAGAAGGGCTGCTTATGCACAGGGAGACAACTCAGGGGGCAGGAGTGCATGGAGGGATGGACACTAGGAAGAGGTAACTATGGGGAGGAAGTGGGAGGGGAGCTGTTGCATTGTGGTAAACTGCGGTCAATGTCATGAGACAAAATGTATGTGAACTGTTGTATGGAAAGTGAATTTGCTCTGTAAATCTTCACCCAAATCACAATTAAAAAAAAAAAGAAGAAATCAAATGATGTACTGCATTGGGCAAATCTGTTGCAAAAGCGCTAAAAAGAAAGATGTCCCTGTAAGACTAAGGTGTGCATGACACAACTCATGATATTTCAATTGTCTCATATCGTCTCAGCATGGGAAAGCTGGACCAAAGAAGAATTGATGCATTTGAATTGTGGTGTTGGTGAAGAATACTAAATACATCATGGACTTCCAGAGGAACAAACAAATCTTTCTTGGAAGAAGTACAGCCAGAATGTTGCTTAGAAGCGAGGATGGTGAGACTTCATCCCACATAGTTTGGACACATAGTTTGGAAGGACCAGTCCCTGGAGAAGGACATCATGCTTGGTAAAGTAGACGGTCAGTGAAAAAGAGGAGAACCCTCAATGAGATGGATTGATACTATGGCTGCAAAAATTGGCTCAAATACAGTAACGACTGTGGGGATAGTGCAAGACCGGACAGTGGTTCATTCTATTGTAAATAGGGTCTCTATGAATTGGAACCAATTCGACTGTGCCTTATAACAAGATAGGTACATTTTCTGTAGAGACGATGAAACTAAAGCTTAGGATGTAAGCAATTTGTTCTAAATCACAAAGATAGCCTTAGAATCTGGCTTAGCATCTAATTCCTAACATTTTTTCCCATTACAGCTTACTAGACTTTAGGAAAAGCCTGCCTATAACTACAGGTTTAATGATAATAACAACAATAAATACCACAACCATTTGTACTTGTGGTTTAAGTTTTATACATTCTAAATTAACAAACAAAGTCCTTTCTCAAGCCTTCTACAAAGAACGTTAATAGGCAAATTCAATATTGTTATTTCAGCCACTGAGTTGGCCATCAGTTGTGGCTATTTGGTCTATATGATCTTTTAAGAGAACACTTTGTAAGACTCAGATACCAACAGCCACCAGAGATGGGTACTAGAGACCAATATGTGATGCTGCATTTATAATCCCTCTCTTTTCTGTCACTGTGATGGTTATGTTTGTATGTCAACTTGGCTAGGCCTGGTTGAGTGGCTGGGCAGCTGGTGTTAGTTATTGCTCATGATGAGACTGGCCATCAACTCCATGGTGGGATCTACCACAAGCAGCTGAGTAGCTGCCTTTGGGATGTGGTCTGCTTCCTGTATGTAAGGAGAAGCCTTGGGAATGGTCCCTAGCCTATGGCACGCTTGGACCCTGCATGTAGCTGTGTAGTTGCTCAGCAGCCTGCTATGCTCTGCTGACCTTGGGACTTACAATGGACTTAAGTTAATGGCCTGCCATGTGGTTTGGGAACATCGGGACTGTGCCTTTTGACTTGTCAACCTTGGGGCTTCTCAGCCTCAGCTAACAGCTGTCTGAGTGAAGAAATGCCTCTAGCTCCAGGGGGCTGGGAGGAGGAGGCAGAGCTGGACCCCAAGGTTGAGGGGCTTTCACCCAGCCCCTAGAGCCTGACACTTTGAACTTGGACTTAAAGCCTCCAAATTGTAAGAATAAACTCCTGTTTGTTAAGGCCATCCCATTTGTGGTATATTCTTGTCAGAATGGCACTAGGTAGCCAGAACAGTCACCATCACTTACCTTAGTGGATACTTCAGTGAGTAAGCAGCAGCTAAGAACCCACCCAGGTTGTGTCCAAGCAAGATCATTTTGTCCAGTCCTAGGGCACATCTCCACTCTTCAATGGATTCCACAAACTGATTCTCCACTTCTTCTGCATCACTGTCAAACCTGGGTCTACTACTTCTTCCAAAGCCCAAGAGGTCAAATGCATAGACAGGCCTATTGGTGCAAAGATCTTCAAAATTTAATACCCAGAGTCCAAGCCCTCCTCCAAAACCATGGATGAGGACAAGTGGTGTCTTATTTTGAATATTATAAGAGAATTTCAGTGTCCATATTTTATTTCCATTAGATATATGAACTGGTTCTTTTTTGTATGTGCAGGGAACACCTAATGAAAACATAAGAGAAATTCTGCTTAGCTTCACTACTCCTGAGAAGGGGAGTATTTGCAGAGAAATAAAAAATTAATCATCTAGAAACCATCTGGTATCTAAGTGTAAGATTTTAGCCTTTATTAATTTATAATTTTTAAAAAATGTACATTTGTATTGAATCAAGTAATTCTTGATCACCACGTTATACGTCTAAGTGGGAAGCACCTCCTGTGGCAAAGCTCTTTTGGTATGTCACAGTACCTCCTTGGACTTCTTTCCACATCTACCAAATGAGGGTATTATTATACGCTAAGAACTTAGTGGTCCTATATCCATTTGTTTTAAGGTCCTTGGCTTTGAAGGCAATAACAAAATCACAATACCTTGAATTTGCAAGATTAAACACTGAAAATTGAAGTCAGACTTGAATGAAACATTTTTCCCTAAAGAATAACTATAACTTTAGGGGAGGATTAATAGTGTCTGTATTAAACATGTAACTGAAATCTTAAGTCATTTCAAAACTTACTAGGAAAATGTTGGCAGGATATGGTAGGAACTCCTCAGCGGGAGGTGCCAGGTAACCTAAGTTCCAAGTCTCACAGTTTCCCTACAAATTGCAAATAATTACAGTTTTGTAAATAAAAACTCTAACCTATCTTCAATGCTGTGGGACTAAATAATTTAAATGCAGCAAAAAAAAAAAAGACTAAAGAAGAAACTAACTTGAAATTCGTTTACATAAAATTATGACAACTGAATAGCTATACTTCAGATGTACCTATAAATTATTTGTGTATATTCAGCTGCAGTGGACAAAACACAAGAGAACCAGTTTTGTTCTTTAACTGAAGAAGCATTCTCAGGTTCTGTATCCAGATAATGGCAGCAAAGAGGAAACATCTGTAACATTTATTAGAGCATTCACTCTACTGTATTAATTGGCTTTCATGTCTGATACTGGAGTAGGGGCTGATTCTCACTCTTATTTGCATCCACAGAATCTTGTTGTTATGTGCCATCGAGTAGGACCCGACTCACAGTGACCTCTCCTTGGGTTTCCGAGGCAGTCTCACTATGGAAGTAGATTGCCCAACCTTCCTTCCGAGGAGTGGCTGGTGGGTTTGAACCGCCAGCCTTCTGGTTAGCAGTCAAGTGCCTTAGCCACTATGCTACCAGAGCTCCCTCCACAGAACCTAGCAAGTACTTAATTCAGTAGCAAATCATTATGTTTAGTAAATACATGAATTGGGTATCTCCTCACAAGAATCTTTTTTATTTAGGGAGCGATAATGACAACTTTCTAAAGCTTTATAAGGAATAGGATTACCCACGTATATGAAGTGGGTAGAAACTCATTTTCATATTAAAAATCTATGTAAGATGGGTAATTTTTTTTTTCTTATAGATATGTCCAGTTATGGTCATTTACTCATGAATCATTCAAATGCATAAACAACAAAAAAAAATTATTTGTGGTAAAGAGAATGAAATCTCAAATGGATCCAATTCTCTACTCAATTACCTCATGTGAAGCTCTGGAAAACAGAAGTGGACACACATCTGTTCCGTATACATACACCATAATCGTGTATGGGAACTGCACTATATAATAGCCTTCTCTTAATGGCTTCAGCAGGACAAGAATGCACAACACCACTGTCTAAAAGTACACCCACAGATGCCTGGAAATTGTACTGATGGTAGAAATTTGGGTAAACTTCTGTGTTCATAAGAAATAAAAAAGGTTACCACGTTACTTTTAAATGTAGACTTAAGGACTCCTAGAATGTCAACATCAGAAGAAATTCTGAGTAAGGATTATCCTGTTGTCATGTTGTACGCTGTACAGTTGATTCTAATTCATGGCAATCCCATGTGACAAAGTAGAACCACTCCACAAGATTTTCTAAGCAGATCCCAAGGTCTTTCTCCCTTGAAGTGGCTGGTAGTTCAAACCACTGACCTTTCAGTTAGCAGCCAAGTACTTAACTGTTGGCATCACTAGGGTTCCTCCTACTCCCTCATTTTATAAGTTAAGTAACCTGAAGCTGAAAAAAGTGATTTGCTTAAGATCCTATAGCCACCTGGTTGCAGATCTGGGCCTAGAACCAGTTCCCTAGTTCCAGTTCCATGTTTGTCCCACTATACAAGGCACAGCCTGTTTTAGCACCAGACACCATGGCAAAGAACAATTTGCTTTGGAACACAGATGCTCACCTAAGGCCTGTTCTCAAAGTGTAGTCTCAGACCTCTTGAGGGTCCCTGACACCCTTCAGGAGGTCCACAAGGTCAAGATCATTTTTATAAGAATACTAAGACTTTGCCTTTTGTTTCATTCTTTCATGAGTTTACAGTACCTTCCAGAGATCATATATGTGATTCCCCAACAGACTGAATGCAGAAGCTGGTAAGAGAATCCAGCTGTCTTACGTTAAGCTGGACATTAAAGAAATTTGCAAACATGGAACAATACCACTCTTCTCACAAAATTTTTTGTGAAGTAGTTATTTGTTTTACAAATGTTATTTATTTTAACCTGTGATAGGTATTATTAATAAATTAGCATATTATTCCATTACAGGCAGTCCCCGGTTAGGAAAGCCCAACTTAACACCAACTCCTACATGCCCTTTGTTGTTGTTGTTAGGTGCCATTGAGTCATCTCTGACTCATAGCGACCATGTACAGCAGAACGAAAACACTGCCCAGTCCTATGCCAGCTCCATGATCTTTGCTATACATGAGCCCATCATTGCAGCCACTGTGTCAATCCATCTTGTTGAGGGCCTCCCCGTTTTTTGTTGTCCCTCCACTTGCCAAGCATGATATCCTTCTCCACGGAATGGTCCCTTCTTACAACATGACCAAAGTAGGTGAGACGAAGTCTGGCCATTCTCACTTCCAAGGAGCATTCCGGCTGTACTTCTTCCAGGACAGATTTGTTAGTTCTTTTAGCAGTCCATGGTACTTTCAGCATTCTTTGCCAACACAACAACTCAAAAGCATCAACTTTTCTTCAGTCTTCCTTTTTCATTGTCCAGCTCTCAAACCCATATGAGGTGACTGAAAATACCATGGCTTGTGTGAAGCACACCTTAGTTTTCAAGGAAACATCCTTGCTCCTCAACACCTGAAAGAGGTCCTTTGCAGCAGATTTGCCCAATGCTATATGACATTTGATATCTTGATTTCTTCCACTGGTATTGATTGTAGAACCAAGTAACATTGACAACTTCAATCTTTTCTCCATTTATCATGATGCTGCTTATTGGTCCCATTGTGAGGACTTCTGTGTTCTTTATATTGAAGTGTAATCCATACTGCAGACTGTAGTCTTCAATCTTTGTCAGTAGGTGTTTCAAGTCATCCTCATTTTCAACAAGCAAAGTTGTGTCATCTGCATAATGCAGGTTGTTAATGAGTCTTCCTCTAATCCTGATGCCATGTTCTTCTTCATATAGTTCAGCTTCTCAAATTATCTGTTCAGCATATGGATTGAACAAGTATGGTGAAAGGATACAACCCTAACACACTCCCTTCTTGATTTTAAACCATACAGTGTCCCATTGTTCTGTTTGAACTACAGCCTCCTGGTCTATGTACAAGTTCCTCATGAGCACAATTAAGTGTTCTGGAATTCCCATTCTTTTCAATGTTATCCATAATTTGTTATGACCCACACAATCAAATGCCTTTGCATAGTCAATAAAACACAAGTAAATATCCTTCTGGTATTCTTTGCTTTGAGCCAAGAGCCATCTGACATCAGCAATGATATCCCTTGTTCCACATCCTCTTCTGACTCCAGCTTGCATTTATGGAAGTTCTCTGTCAATAAACTGCTGTAACCGTTTTTGAATTATCTTCAGTAAGATTTTACTTGTGTATGATATTAATGATATTGTTCGATAAGTTCCACATCCTGTGGGATCACCTTTCTTTGGAATAGGTACAAATGTGGATCTTTTCCAGTCAGTTGGCCAGGTAGTTCTCTTCCAAATCTCTTGGCATAGCTGAGTAAGTGCCTCCAGCATGGCATCCATTTGTTGAAACATCTCAATGGGTATCCCATCAATTCTTGGAGCCTTGTTCTTTGCCACATTCCTCAGTGCAGCTTCAATTTCTTCCTTCAATACCATAGGTTCTTGATTATATGCCACCTTCTGAGATGGAAGAACATCAACCACTTCTTTTTGGTACAGTGACTCTGTGTATGCCTTCCAGCTTCTTTTAATGTTTCTTGCATCATTCAATGTATTGCCCAAAGAATCTTTCAATATTGCAACTCAAGGCTTAAATTTTTCCTCAGTTCTTTAGTGTGAGAAATGCTGAGCATTTTCTTCCCTTTTGTTTTTCCAACTCTATGTCTTTGTACATTTCATTATAATAATTGACTGTCTTCTCAAGCTGCTCTTTGAAATGTTCTGTTTAGCTCTTTTATCTTGTCATTTCTTCCATTTGCTTTAGCTACTCTTCGCTCAAGTTTCAGAGTTTCTGACATCCATTTTGGTCTTTTCTTCCTTTCCTGCCTTTTTAATGACCTTTTGCTTTCTTCATGGATGATGTTCTTGAAGTCATCCCACAATTCCTCTGGTTTTTGGCCACTGGTGTTCAATGCATCAAATCTATTCTTTAAATGGTCTTAAATTCAGGAGGGATATAATCAAGGTCATATTTAGCTCTCACGGACTTGTTTTAATTGTCTTCAACTTCAACTTGAACTTGCAAATGAGCAGTTGATGGTTGGTTCCACAATCAGCTCTTGGCCTTCTTTTGGCTATAGAGATTGAGCTTCTCCATCACCTCTTGCCACAGATGTAGTCAATCTGATTCCTGTGCACTCTGTCTGGTGAGGTCCACATGTACCACCACCATTTGTGTTGTTGAAAAAAAGTATTTGCAATGAATAAGTCGTTGGTCTTGCAAAATTTTATCATGCAATCTCCAGCATTATTTCTATCTCCAAGGCCAAATTTTCCAACTACCAGTGATTCTTCTCATTTCCAACTTTTGCATTCCAGTCACCAGTGATTATCAACACATCTTGATTGCATGTTTGGTCAATTTCAGACTGTAAAAGTTGGTAAAAATCTTCAATTTCCTTATTTTTGGCTTTAGTAGTTGGTGCATAAATTTGAATATAGTGGTATCAACTGGCTTTCCTTGTAGGCGTATGGATATTACTCTATCAGTGACAGCATTGTACTTCAGGATAGATCTTGAAATATTTTTTGTGATGATGAATGTCACACCATTTTTCTTCAATTTGTCATTCCTGTTATAGTAGATCATATGGTTATCTTATTCAAAATGGCCGAAACTGGTCCATTTCAGCTCAATAATTCCTAGGATATCAATCTTCATGGTTCCATTTCATTTTTGACAACTTCTCATTTTCCCAGATTCATATTTCATACATTCAATCATTATTAAGGGATGTTTGGAGCTGTTTCTTCTCATATTGAGTCATGCCACTTCAGCAAATGGAGGCCCCAAAAGCTCTATTTTATCCATATCATTAAGGTAGGCTCTAATCTGATGAGGCAGGTCTTTCCCAGTCATATTTTGAGTAATTTCTGACCTGAGGGGCTCATCTTCCAGCACTGTATCAGACAATGTTTCAGGGCTATTCATAAAAATTTCCAGTAATATATCAGACAGTGTTTCACTACCATTCATAAGGTTTTTACTGGCCAATTCTTTGAGAAGTGGATGGCCTCTTCCTTCTTCCAAGTCTGTCTCAGTCTGGAAGCTGCACCGAAACTGGTCCACCATGTGCAGCCCTGCTGGCACAGCCTCCAGCCTCATAGCAACGTGCAAACCATCACAGTATGAGAAACCAACAGACAAGTTTGTCTCCCTTAGCTGTTATAACTGCTCCGCTCATTTCCTGGGCACTACCCACTACCTGTTCCTGCTGGCCCTGTTTGCTGCTATTCCCTGCTGCCTTGGGGGCTGTCCCCTGCCTACCTCACCTGTTAGTCTGCCTGCCCTTTAATGTTATGGAAATCTGCCCTCACTTTGAAATGACTGAACCAACCCCTTTTTGAAACAAATTCTTCATCACAATCACCTGTGCTTGCTGCATGTGAAGCTTTTAAAAATCAATGAAAAGCTTTCTTGAATTAACCAAAAAAAACTCCATTTCCACTGAGTTGATTCTGACTCATAGTGATCCTACAGGACAGAATAGAACTTCACCATATTGTTTCCGTGGCTGTGAATCTTTACGAAAACAGACTGCATCTTCTTTTTGTAGCTCAGAGGCTGGTGAGTTTGAGCCACTGACCTTCTGGTTAGCAGCCCAATGCTTTAATCACTGTGCCACTAGATCGCCTTCCCTTGCACTAAAGTAAGGCTAAATAAGAACCATATGTCCCTGTTCCGGACTCACTTACAAATTCCACTTAAAGACTTGAAGACACAGTTAGGAACAGATCTTGTTCATCATCCAAGGTCTGCCAGTACTCAGTTTTAATTTCCAATATGGTAAATATTGTAAGCTACAGCCCTGGTAGCATAATAGTTAAGTGCTTGGCTGCTAATGGTCAGTGATTCAAAGCCATCCCACTCTGTGTGAGAAAGATGTGGCAGTCTGCTTCCACGAAAACCTATGGGGGCGTTTTACTCTGTTCTATAGGGTTGCTGTGTTAGAATCAACTGAATGGCAGTGGGTTGGTTTGTGGGTTTTTTTTTGTTTGTTTGTTTGTTTATAGCCTATAAACAAAGTTCTCCAGTTTTAAAAGTATAAAAGGTCCTAAGACCAAAATGTTTGAGAAACACTGCCCCACACATTGCTGTGCTTGCTGATGACACACAAAAAGAGGAAAAAAAGTTATTTTCCTAACTAATACACCACAATACCTTATCTCCAGTTTCGGGGTAATGCAATACATCAGGTTTATTTTAACAAATAGCTCAGTTAACTTACAAGAAGAAAATCTTACATTTTAAAATTTTTTCTTCAGCTTCTTTAAGGTGTAGTGAAGACGTAGGGCACCATGTGGGAAGCCAACCAGTTAGCCATCCTGACCTACGGCATCAAAAACAAAATGCAAATAGGTGAGTTAACACTTCTCTCAATGTCCAATGGTTATATATGGAGAGGAAAAGCAGAATAAGGAACTTACTGCCTTTGTGATGGTGCAGGTATATGTGATGAAAAGCACTTATAGGTGCAAGGCATCATACTTAGTACTGGGATACAGATATTTGACTTCAGATATTTGATATCTACAAAGTACATATAAAAGTGCATCTTATGTTCAGGGAAGTTTGTTGCTGTTAGTTGCCATGGAGTCATTCCAACTCACGGGGACCCCATATGTACAGGGTAGAACTGCTCCATAGGCATAGTCAGATTCCAAATAATTATGTAGGGAATAAAAATGGGCAGAATAACAAAAGAAAAAAAAGTCACTCCTATTAGGGTAGAAGCACAAAAATAGCTAGAGACCATGAGTAGGTTCATTAGCACCGAAAAGGTACCTGGTGTGTGTGTGTGTGTGTGTGTGTGTGTGTGGAGGGTGTGTGAAAAGAAACTTTAGGGAAAAAAAGACTTCACATCTCAGGGAAAACAGTAGTAACACACCGCTATAAAAATGCAGTGGGTTGCGTAAGTCCAACTGGTTAACCATTAAATGGAAAACCAAAAAAGCTTTGGATTCCAGCAAACAGTAGATGAAGAGAATGACCTAGCATCTTTCAGAAGTCAGCAGAACTGAATGAGGAAGCAGGCCTGAGGCAACAGGAGAGGAAAGTCTTGGGAGGGCTGTCGCTGACACCCTTTGACAGCAGAGGGGTCCAGAAGAGAGGTCATCTTAACAACCAGGTAGCAGCAGACTGCAGGGGCACAGCAAAAATCTGAGGCAGTGTATAGCTTCATGATGCCATGTGACAGCTAGCAAGGGCTCAACACACAGTGGTGGACTTAAAATTGAGAACTTTCTGGTGAATGAATGAATTAGAAGAGAAAGTGAGGCCAACTACTGAAGATTCCAAATGATTAGGGCCTGACCCAAGTCTTCAGCAATAGGGACAGAGGTGAGATCAGGTCAAGGAATATTTAGTAAGTAAACGAGCTGGATTTGATGGTTGGTTGAATGTAAAGATGGCATAATAGAGAAAAACTTCCAGTCTGCCTTAGGTGCCACTGGTAATGATCAACAACACAGGAAAATAAGAACAATAATGATAGTAGAGAAATGTGCTCAGTTTTGGAAGGGTCAATCCAGCATCCAGCTTCTTCTAGCTTTGCAGACTCATCCTACTACTTTCCATTCCTTGCAGAATTTCTCTGTGTTACATATAACAGGCACTCAAATAAATTGTTGGTTGAATGATCACGTCACTCAACATCCAAGGTATTTCTAGTCCAAGTTATCCACATTTCATAGATGCGAAAGCTGAGTTTCAGAAATGTTAAGCATCAGGACCAACAGTGCACAACTAGTAAGTAAATGACACAAGAAAAGACCTGAATTCAATTCTGAATGACTCCAAAGTCCCTCTTTCTCAAGTAATTATCTTACTTAAAATACCTACAGAGTTTCTTATTACCTACTTAGGGAATAAAGTCTACTTTCCTTAGACATTTCCAGAAGGCACTCTACAATCCATCCACAGTCTACTCCTTCCCAATCTGTCTTGCACTTGTATTTTTCAGTATCTCATAGATCCTAAAACTATTTTATGCCTCTATGACACCAGTCACTCCTCGGAAGGAAGATGGGGCAATCTACTTCCGTAGTGATACTGCCTCAGAAACCCAAGGAGGGGTTGCTATGAGTCGGGTCCTACTCGATGGCACATAACAACAACAACAACATGACTTTGCATAGCTCTTCCTTCTGCCAAGAATATCTTCCCTCACCTCTTCTGAGATACTGTCCTTCACCCTGATGCCAAGGGCAGAGGTCATTAAAGCACTCTTCTGGCCCTTGTTACAGATATAATTACTACTGTTGTGATTATTTATTTACAAATTTCTATACATTTTATCTGTCTTACTGCATTGCTTGACCCATGTTAATATCATCCTCATATCCTCAGTGCCAAACATACTAACTGGCTGGTGGTCATGACAGTGCTTGGTAACTGTTTATGAATGTGAACTGAAGGACTTGGGCATAAGAAATAAATAACAGAAGTAGAAGGCAGGCAGATGGGCACTTACAGTGCCACAGGTTATTGAATAGGAGATTGGGTGGGGTAAGGATCTGAATCTCCTCCCCTCAAATAAAAAACAAAAAACAAAACTAACAAGTGTTGATACCAGAGGAGAATCAGGAAAAAGATAATCAACTGAACAAACAATATAGTAAGACAATCAGAAAATCAGAAGCATTATGCTTACTGGGTAAGCATAATCTGCATACCTTTTTTTTTTTTTTTCCCAAATAAATAAGTTATTTCTTTTTATCTACCTTCTAACTTTCTTCTTGCCTCTTTTTGTCTTTAGATATGAGACCTTCCTAGGTCAACAGTACCACACACACACACAGACATTCACACATTGTACATACATACATAAACAGGATTAAGGAGCAGGACAAAAAGTGGATGTATTTGGTCAGGTTTTCACAGCATGCAGTTATATTTTGGAGACAGTATTTGAAGAAAAGAATGTCTGAGGATACATAATTTGCATTGTGATGAAGCTCTACTCTAATGCTCTTTGCTGCCAGTTTCAAACCTTCTACATTAACAGGATAAGAATTCTCAGCCTCCCCTATAAATGTTATATGTAACTTTTTATAAAGGTATAAACATGATAGAAAACATTATTAATATCAGTCTGTTTGTAAGCCTATACATATTTAGAAATTATTGAGGAAAAATGATTTATGGCTTCAGTAGTGAAGCTTTCAATTCAACAATTTTTCAATTGTTGGAAAAAAAAGCAGTTAGTTAACAGGAAATTAAAAGAATCTCATGATCTTTAGAGCATTTTTTTTTAAAGAAGTGAACTATTAAGCTGAGGCTTTCTTAAATGGCCATCAAGACCCATGTTAGACTTTAAAAATACAAACTAGCACCAAAAAGAAGTTACTTACAACTAAGTTTCATAGATTTTCTTAAATATTCCTCAAATCACAGCAGTTCTTTGCCAAAGAGAATCAGAGGTCAGTACTAAATAAATAAATTTATTATTGCCCCAATGACATCATAGACAAGCTGGGACAAAGAAAACAGAAATGTAATCTTTGTTTCAGGCTTTAGGGGGAAAAAAAAAAAAAAACTATTATATTCAAAAAATAATTCAGACTCTGAATATTTACGCACAAAGCACTAGTGTTAAATATCAGCCTGTAATTTAAGAATTATGCCTAGCTCTATCAACTTACCACTCTTTACAAAACAAATTTTCAAGAGATGGGATTGTCTTGTCTCCTTATGAGCCACTTAACTCAGAGAAACACATTGCTGTTGAGTGAATTCCAACTCACAGTAACCCTATAGGACAGAGTAGAACTGCCCCATAGGGTTTCCAAGGTTGTAATCTTTACCGGAGCAGACTGTTTGTTTCTTCTTTCTCCCACAGAGTGGCTGGTGTGTTCAAACCTCTGACCTAACCTAACCAGGAGGGTTAGCAGCTGAGTTTACACTGCACCACCAAGGCTTAAAACCACACTGTTGTTGTTGTTGTTTGCCGTCGAGTCGACCCCGACTCATAGCGACCCCTCCTTGGGTTTCTGAGGCAGTATCACTACGGAAGTAGGAAGGACGCTAAGGAAAGTTAAAAAAAAAAGTTGTGCTTAACATACTAATAAAGTTTACTTAAGAATCTAATTGTAAGTATCCAAAGTTTAAGACAACACACAGATTTTTCTTTCCCTTCAATTTCTACCTAATTATTTTAAAAAATATTATCATTAACATAATACATGCCATCAACATTTAAATTTCCGGGTAATGCCTGTTTTGTTCTCTAAGGCATTTGATGATCTATAGTATTACTAAACCTGAATTGCACAATCTATAAATGTTGGGAAACAGTGAAAGATATTTCAAAGTATTCTGAAGAAAATGTACAGCAGTCTGGCCAATTTCCACACACTCTTGGCCACTTAAATAACATTTCTAATTAGGTTATAAGTAAAGAGTATTTCATTAGATTATAATTTTGTTTTAAATGGCTTCCATCCCTATACTAGTTTTATCAAGAGGAAAAAAACTTACCACTGCTGTTTCATAAACTACTCTAAGAATAATATGCTGTCTCATTTAAAGAAACTATAAAGTTTTGATTTTTATTATAAATACACAATTAGGGATGTGAATATATATATATTCCTCTGAAATAATTCCTCAACTAATGAAAGATTTAAAAGCTCCAAATTAGAAATTATAACACTTAAGCAAATAAAGGCCTTCTTCCCTGGGAACTGACCTTAAATCCTGTTTTTTGGAAAAAGAATTTAAAAAAAGTTTACCTCATACAACTATTAAATGGCTAACATTCCATTTAATTTTATATAAATGATACTCCAATGACTCAAATTATCGATAACAGTTACATCAATGACAACACAAGCTTTCAGTATATTTTAACATATTTACTAACAGTCTTTTAACATTTTTTCCCCCTTCATCTCTAACCTGTAACTTTAAAAGAACTAGGGTTGGAGAATCATTGTTTGAGATACAGTCATGTGCTAGCCATACTTTTCCTCTAATTGTTTCCTACCTTCCCGCAAACAGAAAACAATCCATTCTGGAGTCAGACACCTACATGAGTGTCATCAAACACACTGGAAAAAGCTACAGGTATACTTTTCTATTTACATTTCTTAACAGCTATGAAACATTTTTTTGTGTCAGCTCTCAATAAGTTCATGCCCATACATAACCAAAATAAAAAGGGATAACTAAAAATCTTAGGTCTTAAACTCAATAACCACTTTTAATAAAATCACCTCTCCATACAATTTGTTTTATGGCACAATCAGATTAGGGTATTACAGAATCTAGCAATTTTCCAAAGCTATGTTTAAACCAATATAATGTTTCAGAACAGCTCTTAAAAACAAT